GCACAAAATTGAGCATGCTCAACATGAAAATTGACCTAGGGCCGAATGATATACATCAAAAATCATGGCTAATGAGGCTAGAACATTGGTCATTGCATGCACGCACATATACTTAGGTTCGGAGGTGAAAATTGCCCGATTTCACTTAGCAACTTGACCAAACAAACTCAAAACATGCTAATCTTTTACCAATGTCATACTCATGATTTTTGAGGATTTTTAAGCTACTAATCTTGGCCAACTCATGCATGCATCATAAAATTCGAATTTAAGGGACTAAACTTCAAAAATTTGAAACTCCATATTATGAACATGCATGGCATCATTTTTCAACATGATAATTCCTATTTTATCATGATTAAGCTAGGAAAAATGAAAGTCACGAGCTAACCTTGCTCGAGCTCGCGAACGGTGCTAATGGCCTTTGCTCGGGCTCGCAAATGGCCTAAGAGACTAGCCTCGACTTGGGGGCTTGAATGGCTGAGGAGGATAGCTTCAAGAGACTTAGAAATATCCAAACAAAGCTTGCATAATGATAAGCCTCGAGATAACTAGGCTGGAACAAGCTGGACATGAGCACTCCTCTTCCCCGGGGCTCTCGCGTGCGGTAGGGACTTGGTGCCTTCTCTCGGTTTCTTCTCTCAACCTCCGAATATACTCAAGTGTTTGGAGTGACAAGAGCTCAAAATGGCTGAAGAGGGACCATTTTATAAGCTGAGGGGCGGAGTGTCCCATGAGGCAAAGTGGGAGACAAGGAAAATGGGTCTTATGCACCCCATGCGCATGGGAAAGAGGGGCAAGGGTCTTGCACAGATTTTGGAGGGTTGGCAGGGCATCTTGACTGTCCAAAGCATTAAAATATGTTGGGAGAGCAGGTCTGGACGTGCTCCCATGAAGTGGGGGACAAATCCAACAACACATGCATTAAAATATTCCAAGCACATGCGTCACTTTTGGACTCACTTGGGATGCTTAGGGCTTAATCTTCATTAGGGCTAATTAAGCTTAATTAAACCCTTATTATGTCCTAATTACTCGCCACTTTTGGGTCATGAGGAAAGTGGGCCGGAAATATAGGAATTGGGCCCAAGAATAGGGCTGGTGCGCTGCCCGCGCTGGGCCTGGGCGCTGTCTGGGCTGCACGCGGCACGGGGCCTGGGCACGAGCTGGGCGCGGGAACTGCTGGCCCGGGCTGCGCGCGAGAAAAACACTTGGGCCGATTATGCCACATGCTTAGGGCTGGAAAAAGAGTTCTCCACACTTAGGAAAATTCCAAAGGTGTTTGGCCATGACTTGGGCCACCATACTTGACTCGCGCGAGGCTAGGGTGCGGGTACTAGGGCGCGACTCATGGCCCGGCTTGGAATGCACTTGAACCGAGGCTAACCCTTGGCTAGGGCTGAAAAATGGCCACACTTAGGTGCCACCAAACCTAGGAAAATCCCCTCAATACTTGGTCATGACTTGGTGCGGACTCGGCACGGCTTTGGCCCGAACTCGCGAACCCTAGGCGCGAGTGATCTCGGGGCCACGCACGAACTAGGTGCGGTATACTAGACCGAGGGAATAACATCCAAAGCTTGACAAATACGATCTCATACTTAGAAATATTCTAAGTAAGGCTATGAGCATGGCTAGGGCTCGAACAAGACTCGAGACAACTAGGGCTCGAGAATTGGCTAGGCGCGAACTAGGTGCGATACTCGCGACCGAACAACTCGGTTCCGGACACGGCTAAACTTGGATGATTTATCGAAACAAACTCGGTTTCGATTATTCGTCAACTGAAATAACTAATTCCGACTGAATAAAGTCCATTACTAAAATAAATGGACCGGAATTAATATTTGAGATTGAATAGTTGATAACTGGGCTCGGAACTCAAGACGAGCAGTATAATAAAAAGAAATAGTTCAATTGGGAACTAAAAACTGTCATTTTTATTAATACAGAACTGGGCTATTACACATTTATTTTTATTCAATTCTTATTTGGCATTTAATTCTCATCTTTATAATTTTAAATCCAAGTAAAACTCATTTATCGCAATTCTCATATATATATATATATATATATATATATATATATATATATATATATACATTAGTGCAGAACCCGTGATGCACGGGGTAGACAATTATAAGGCTTTTTTACCTAGCCTCATTATTATATTCGTGAATAAAAATAATTGAACAAATAGAACAAATAATAATATTATATATTATTAAAGACATCCTTGTCGACAATATGTTTTTGCTTTGTGAACACACAGTGCTCCCTGCAAAATAATATTTTCAAGCACTTTCAATTAATGACATGGAAAACAACTACATACAATTGGTTGTGGCTGAACATTGGCTTCTTCATGATCATTTCTAGATGTGATAAATAGTGACCTGCTCTTGTTTAATCATCATGGCATAATAAACTATTAAGAGAAACTGCCTCCGGTAAAATTTGAAAGGTACTGTAATGTCGGAAAGTGTTAGAGTCATCCGAGGTATCAACGCCTTCTCTCCTACATTAGATCTAGTCAATACCTTACATTCAAACACAGGAGTAAAGAGCTTTGTAACAACCAATCTCATACTATTGCACAACTCCCTAAGATGATCAATGTTCCGCAACAACATGACTGTTGTTCTTATCTTAAGATTCAACTCAAGTGTCGAACATCTGATAGTATTCAAAAACTCGACAGTGTAGAGATCAGACAAAAAATCATTATTAGAATCAGATTTGCACACACAATCAGAGTTCAAGTATGTTTGACCATCAACCACGTTCAAAGACGTCATGTACTCATTCATAGACTCAACCACCTCTATCGTTGGGCCTAGTATAGCTCTATCCTTCAGATAACCAGGATCATCAGTTGCATTCCTAAATATTGGATAGGTGTTCTCAACAATTGCAGCGATAAGATCATCAGTGGGCTTCAAACAATGCAACATCAGGTATGTCTATCAAGGCATATCCATCATTAGATCCCCCAATAGTTTCATTTCCAATGCTCGTTATCCAATTAGCAAAAGTTGTCAGCTCCTTGCGTTCATCCGAATCATCAATGCTGTAAAAGAGCATATTTTTATAAGCCTCAACACAGTACAACTAGCTTATATGTTGGGAGAATTAATTGCAGCACTCACAATATCCTAACGGCTAACCGGGAGGATCTGTCAGAAGTCCTCATCGTGAAATAGGATTTCCAAGTAATTCTTGTATTCAACTTCAAATTATTCAATTATTCGAATTGAGCGCAACATCATGGGTAGCCTTTTTATTCGAGTGACATCCTTAATCATACCAAATTTGCACCTCATGTTAAATTGAATTAAATAAGTATAATCGTGTATTGTGTAATAAAAAATTAAATCAAAAGCAAGATGAATAGACAACATCGATCTACAATGAATTTATAGAGGAAGAAGAACAAAGTGTATTTGAGATCAATTCCATAAATATGTGATTTGAAAATATTTTAGGAAACGCCATAAATTTTCTATGGTTAATGTAAATTTTTGAACGTGGGAAATTAACGCTTATTCTATTTTGTATTGACAAAGATTTACTCTACGTAATTCACGCGTTTGATTAATTAATCTGATGCTATTATATTTTTCATATTTTTTTATTTATATATTATAAATTAATCAATTGGTGATTTGAAATGCGGTTATGTAATATTTGATTTTGAGATTTTTTGGCAATTATATTTTGATTATTTGCTAATCAATTAATAATTTGATTATATTGAGTCAAATCGATAATATTTTTATTTATGTAGATCTCGCATATTATTTTGATGTTTCATCAATTCGGCTATTGTGAAAGGAAATATTGAAAGTTTTTGTTAAATAATGATTAATATTATATACAATGCCACTTTTATAAGATCTCATTGAAATTTTGACTTCCACTCCAATCATTTATACTAAAAAATATAGTCATAGTATTCTTCATATTTCTCATAAGTATCGAATTCAAAGCTTATAAAAAAAAGTAAAAAAAAAAAATAGAGACACACATTTATTCTAAAATAATAGGTCATAATATTGTTCAAATATTTTATACCAAAAAAATAGAGACACTCTTTATCATGATAAAAAAATTGAAAAATGCATTTCACACCAAAAATTTATTTGAAATGTTGTAACAAAAATGAATTTTCTACCAAAAAAAAAAAACAGCTATCAAATAACCTAAATTATTTTTCCCATTTTAAACTATATATTGATTAATTTATTTTCCATAGAAACAACAATCAAATACCAAAAATAAATTCGCTCACTTGATAACATATATTGATTGATTTATTTTTCATTTAAAAAATATCAAATAGCAAAAATAAATTTTCCTATTTTATACCATATTTGATTGATTTATTTCCCGATACAGTAAATAAGATTCTTTTACCAGGAAACATTGATTTGATGTTGGCTTGATTTTAATTCCAAACAATGTTGTTATTAGCGTACTGTTAAAAAAGGAAATTTGACAAATGTAAGACTCTAAGTGATGTAGGGAAGCGTATGAGTGGGAAAGATAAACGAGATACTCTCTCCATAAAAACTCACAATCAATTCATATTTCATTCATTAATTCATAATCAACTGAATAAAACCATAGATGAGGGTCCTTTAAGTAAGACTCCTAAACTCTATTCCTAATTTGTTCAACAAGACAAGATCTCTTATAATAATATTTAATTCCTAACTTATTTTTCAAGATACCTAATAATAATAATAATAATAATAATAATAATAATAATAATAATAATAATAATAATAATAATATTCTATCCGCATCATTCTCCCCCGGTTGAACAGGATTCGCCCTCGAATCCGACCCGTTCTCGTTGGAGACGTCCCCATGACAGGAATAGCCCGACGTTTTCCCCCGTCGAACATGAAGGTTGAACAACGTTGTGATCTATCTTGGCTAGCTACAAAATACTCGGTTGCTCGAATGGCACTTCTCCTCTCCTCAACTTCAGTTACTCACCCAACCCAAACAAATACTTCTAAAGCCTTTGCCCTTTTTTGCTTCAATATGTAAAACCACATAGCAAACGCTTCTGCTTCAAATTTTTTAAATCCAGATGCAACACCATCTTCAAGGGGTATGAAACATGGATTAAAATATGGCAAACATTTGTGAGACTCATGCCCATGTAGTTCTCTATACTGCACAACACGGTCACTAAAAATCGCATCAAGTGCAATGGTTTTGATAGCAATAATTCCAGCTTCATCCCCCGGTCCCGGAGGCTCCTCATCGAAAATCGGCGGGCCATCATACTCGCCGGCCTCCATCTCCTCAACAATTAAAGCCCGTGACCCCTTTGTCTTCGGACATTGGGCCTGCCGGTGACCCGGTTCGCCATAGGAGAAGCAACGCGGCCCGCCAGACTGTCGACCGCTGCCCCCCAACCGTGGGACCAACGTACACTGCTCCAACACCCGGTTGACTGTTCGACCCAGTTAGCGTCGTAACCATTGTCCCCGGAATTTCCTTAGAAGATGGTGCAGACAAAGCACCCGCCTTTCGTGCATGTTGTTGTTCGAGCATCAGTGCTCGCTGGTGTGCATCAGAAACCGAATCTGGAGCTATCATATTAAGCATATCTTGGAAAGCAACCCGTAAACCGCCCACATACCTTGAAACAAATTGGTCCGACGTCTCACGAATCTCCACACGAGTTAATAGGCGGTAAAATTATTCCGTGTACTCATCCACCGAACGATCTCCTTGTCTCAAATTTTGGAATTGTTGATAAATGGAACGATAATTAAACGGTAAAAATTCACGTTCTAAGTGCTTACGGAATTTAATCCACGTCGAGATTTTTGGTTTGCCGAGACAGTGCCGCATTTCTTTGAGTTGTAACCACCAAGCGGCCGCACGGCTGCGAAGCCTCGTCACGACAAGCGCGACTCGAAAAATTCCCCAAACATCAAGACCGCCCAAAAATTCCGCAACGGAGTCAACGGCAGCCCACCAATCCAAAAATTCCTCAACATCAAGACCGCCCGAAAATTAAGAAATATCGACTCGAAAACCTTGCACCCAACGCGACTGGCCGCCACTATCCAACGTGGGGCCCAAAGCTCGTCGTTGCTGCTCCTCACCGGTGAAGTCCCGACCATCGTGCCAGCCCCAGTCCTGCTGGAACTGCTTGCCCGCAGCGAATCCTAGCCCTTCATGGTGCTGCCGTCCGTCCCCCGCAGCGTAGCCAAAACCCGCGCGCCGAAACACTCCGTCCCTGCCCTGATGGTCACCGCCGGTGAAGCCGTATCCTTCGCGATCGTGAGCCCCACCCCATCGCAGATATACATCCTCGTGAGGGTCGTCCCGTCTGTGATGGCAAACCCTAGGCCGCTGCATCTGGTCGCCGTCCGCCATGAAGGGTGCCCCACGCCGCTGGCCATGCCCACCGTGTGCGTCGAACTCCTCGGTGCCTCTTTGAAATTGCCCTTCGCCGAAAGGATTGACCATATATATGGTCTCTTCGCCGTTGTCATAGTCGCCGGGCGGGGGCTGAGATGAATGCCGGCGGGGCGCCCCGCTAAAGCCACGTCCACCACGACCACCGCGAAACCCTCCGCGCGCGCCCCGGTCACCGGTGTCGCAGTTCGTACGCACCTCTTCCATCATGGTTCTCATTGCCAATCGAATCTCCTCGACCCCCGTGGAAAGTTCTGTGAATCGATCTTCCATCCCTTGAATCCGATCTTCCATCCGCTGGAATCGGTCGTTGATGTTTGGATAGTTAGCAGCGTTTCCTTTCTTTGGCGGCATCACGGATCGTGCTGACCTCTGGATACCAACTGATGTAGGGAAGCATACGAGTGGGAAAGATAAACGAGATACTCTCTCGATAAAAACTCACAATCAATTAATATTTCATTCATTAATTCATAATCAACTGAATAAAACAATAGATGAGGGTCTGTATAAATAAGACTTCTAATTCCTAATTTGTCCAACAAGACAAGATCTTTTATAATAATATTTAATTTCTAACTTATTCTTCAAGCTACCTAATAATAATAATAATAATAATAATAATAATAATAATAATAATAATATTCTACTGCATCACTAAGTCAACAAATTTTACAAATGCACTTTTCTCAAAGGGTAAATAATTTTTTGCATCCTGTACTATACGCGTTTTTGGCATTTGCAACCTAAAGTTTTTTTTTCATTATTTGCAACCTTTAATACACGTTTTGTCTGTATCGCAACCTAACGGCCATCGGAGTCCATATTCCACCGGAAAAGCGAGCGTGCGACTCGCACGCTCGAAACTTGAGGGTAAGATCGCCAATTGAAGTGTGTGACTGTTCGGTATCCCATAGAGTAAAGCAAATAATTTTCAAAGTTCACAAAATCCCCAAATCAAAAACTCAAAAACCTAGGGTTCTTGCCTCTGCGATTTTCAATCGCGACACCCAATCTCAAACTTTCCTTCGATTTAAACATAGAAATTGTGAATCTAAAATTGATAATATTCTTGTCCCTTCAGGTCCCAGTTCACAATTGTTTACCATTTCAATTCATTATGGTGGGCAATTTCTGGAACTTGGTGACACTTGTTACACTGGTGAGCACATGAGGGTAAGGCACATTGACTATTGCGACCCTGATGAACTCTCGTTGATTGAAATATTCTGTATGGCTTCTGAAATTGGGATAAAAGATGTTAAGTGTGTGCATTGTAGTAGAAATGGTGTAAATGATTGTCGGTCTGTGTTTGTCTTGCAAAATGACATGGATGCTATAAATGTTGTTAATTGGGTTGATAGTAATAGAATGGTCGGTTTATATGTTGAACATATGGAGGGCACAGGGATATCTACTCAACCTTCTGTTGATTTGCCTTCTGTTGATGAACCCTTGCCTTTTGTGGGGGATGATTTAGATGATATGATTGATAATTGGGGGGAAATGAATGTTGATGATATGGGTGATGATTTGGAAGTCCAATCTGATAGTGACTTTGATAGTGATTCTGAAGTACAATCTTTTAGTTCAGACTCTGAGTTTTCTGATGAACTTGTTGAGAGTGATTGTGATCTATATGATGAAGATGATAGGTTGTTTGAGTGTCATGTAGATGCTGATATTGAATGGGGAGGGGTAAATAGAGATGAAACTTATGGCCCCGAATATGTAGGTAGCCAGTGTAAGCAGAAAAAAAAATTGGGCCATCCAACTTTTGATCATAACAAAGACATGAAAAATCCTCAATTTGAATTGGGCATGACATTTCCTGACTTGGCCATGTTTAGAAAGGCAGTTAGGAACTTTGCAATTGCACAGGGTAGGGATGTGTGTTTTACCATTAATATGAGCTATAAGGTGCAAGCAAGATGCAAAAATAAGTCATGCCCTTGGGTTATTTATGCATCCAAACTTCAAAATGAAGACACTGTGCAGGTTAAGACTTATAATGGTAGGCATAAGTGTCCTAGAAACCAAAAGGTAAGTCATGCTAACCCAAAATGGATAGCTGAAAATTACAAGCACAAGATATTAGATAATCCTAAGTGGCCTGTAGAGGCAATGATGGCAGAAATGCAGAGGGAAGTAGGGGTAGTTTTCAAAAGATGGCACATGTACCAAGCTAAAAAATATGTGTCTAAGATTGGTGTGGG